TCCGAATCGTTGATCATTCTGGACCTGAGAAGGATCTTCTGAGTTTTCGGACCTGAGAAGGATCTTCTGAGTTTTCGAAGGTGAAATTTGACGTTATTCAATACAAATAATGTGGGGGGGGGGGGGTATGCAATATCTGATTGCTCTTGTTTTGTTTTTTATTAAAATTAGTAACATGTTTAGTCCAGGTATGCGCTCTTAATTGAAGGGTACCAGCGCCCTCTAGGAACTAGAATGTTTTTCTAATCAGTAACATTTTTAACGTGTGGCGGATATAGGGTTAATGTATATTTTAATCGCGGTATTTATTTGCATATTAAACTGATCATTAGCTGTATTTCTTATCTAATTTTGAATGTTTTCAGAGTTCACTGTTATAAGTTGTTGATGTTGTTAATGTTACTGTTTGATGAATAAAATAGTTAAACTTGGAGAAGAAAAAAAACTGTATAATATTTTTGGAATGCCTAACGCTGATAAGCAACACATTTTAGAATATGGGAGGATATTGTTTTTTTAGGTTTAACGAATGAACTTGTCTTTCAAGCTTCTACCAAACGTTTATAGGTGGTAGGCTCGTAAATACACTGACCTACAAATAAACTGGCCAAAATTGTGTAATTATAAGTCAGTGTAACTTATGTGACATTTATTAGCAGTTCTGTCGCAACTTATAAACGTTTATTGAAAATTAATAATTATAATTCATTTAGAACAAATTTTTCGTGGTTAGGGAGCTCGATTCGCGATCTGCGGGTCGCGGGTTCGAATCCCCGTCCCACCAAACATGCTCGCCCTTTCAGCCGTGTGGGGGGTGGTGGTGGTTATAATATGACGGTCAATCAAATTATTTATTGGTAAAATAATAGCCCAAGAGTTGGTATGGAGTTCATGTTATTTTGCCGCGAAATTCAAACCACACATTTTAACTTGTCGTGCCCTCTTTTGACAATGGACATAAGTATCAGTTAAAATGTAAGCACGCAGATGTCCCAGAAGCTCAGTTAAGCTTTTTAGTTGTTCTTCCCTTTTGTAAGTTAGTTGTTTGCTTTTATGTTAACTGAGGAAACAAAGGTAACATGATAAAAACACACGTAGATCGGGCATGGTCTAGTGGTCAGTATCATGTGTCCAAGATTCGAGCCCGTTATACGCCTCACTTTAATTTGTGGATGATTTATAAAAGTGTCAGTCATCCTACTGTTAAGATAAGAGTAGCCATGTCGGAGACCGATTGTCCATTCTGTGGCCGGAGTTCTATGCCTGGAGAACCATCAGTGACCATGCGTCGCGTAAATATTAAATACGAAATACGTGCAGAAGGAAATTTGCCAGTCAGAAATACCACTATTCGTTGATAAAAAGAGTAGCTCAAGAGTTGGCGGTGGGTGGTTTAATTTTGTGTTGTTGATCCTTACAAGTGGCCCGCATAGTCAGGTGGTTAGGGCGCTCGACTCGCCCTTTCTGCCATGGGGGCTTTATGAGGCCTCTTATTATGCAAGGCCCGGCATAGCCAGGTGATTAGGGGGCTCGACTCGCCCTTTCTGTCATGAGGGCTTTATGAGGCCTCTTATTATGTAAGGCCCGGTATAGCCAGGTGATTAGGGGGCTCGACTCGCCCTTTCTACTGTGGGGGCGTTATGATGTGACGGTCAATCCCACTATTCGTTGGTAAAGGAATAGCCCAAGAGTGGGCGGTGGGTGGTGATGACTAGCTGCATTGCACTGTTAAATTAGGGACGGGCAACACAGATAGCCCTCGTGCAGCTTTGCGCGAAATTCAAAACAAACTTATTATGTAGCATAGCCTATGATGTTACGAAACCGGTAAATAGGTAACAGTTTGATAAAATACATATAAATATTCTACATCATTTGTGTAAATTTTAACATGTTATTTTTATGGGCGACTGAAATGCGAAGTTCAGTATATAACTCATGCTTATTAACCTTAGTGGTCCAATTGTACTAATTTGTTTTAAGAGTTGGAGCCCCCTAACTACTAGGTCCCTTCTACATGTGAGGCTTGCGAGTTCGAATTAAATCTGATAAACGTTGTATCACGACTGCTGTGCGAGTCCTATCTCTTCAGATACCTCTTCTACTGATGTACGCTTTATTATTCCTACAGTGTAGTCCACCGGTGGAACAGCGGTAAGTTTTAGGATTACGACCCTAAAATCCGGGGTTCACTTCTCCGCGGTGGACACAGCAGATATCTCAATGTAGTTTTACTCTAAATCAAACAATGTAGTTTGGAACCTATGTGTTGTTTCTCTGTCTTTTGTATTGTATGACATTGTTTTTGTTTGGATATCTGTGTTTGACGCCGACTGTTTTGTTCGTTTAATTCGGTTAATAATAATAGCTAAAAAAATCACGGGTTTGAATACCATTCGGTCTCAACTTCCCCTTCTTCAGCAAAGTTTTCATTTCACAAGATATTGTGACCCTTTTTCAATTATTCACAGATGGATCAGCGGTAAGTTTACGGACTTATAACAGTAAAATCCATTGTTCGATTCCCGCAGTGGAAGGAACGAAAATAGCTCTTTGTGTAGCTTTGTGCTTAACTACAAACAAACAAAACTCACAACGAACTCAATAAATGTTATGTAACTTTTACACGAGCTTCAACTTTGTAAAAAACAAACAATATATATACTTTATTGGCCCGATTATAAGGCGATCTTTTTGATTAATAATTAGGCTGTAAAATTCATAGTTGCCTTATAATCGCGGCCGACCACAGGCCCCTTCCTCCTACCCTAGCCTGCTGCATTCCTGAATGTCCAGATAGCATCCGTCTACACATGCGCGCCAGATGTTTACTCATGGTCATCGCAAATTCTTGCATCTAATCCACCTGCAAGCTGTTCAGTTATAGTATTGATTTTGTGGACCTAAAAAAAGGAGTTATGACACTCAATTTGTTTCTTTCCCATGGCTTCTGAAAATGGGGGTCGCCTTATATTCGAGATAGCCCTATAATCGGTGTAAATGTGCCATATACACCATAGAATGTTTGAAACCAAAATGATAATGAGTGCAAATCTTTATTTCCTACAATACATCACATTGTACTAGAGTAGGTAGGTACTAGCTTTGACGTTCTACATTAGAAGAGTTGACAAAGAATAAGGTTGTAAGTCAATTCAGTTTTTTATTTTTATCTCAAGTTTGTGAGTATCTAAATTTTTAAAAAAAATAATAAAACACCCCTTCTGTTAGTTACAGTTTCGAAGTAATGATACTATTTTCGTTGGTTTGTGGACACCGCGCTGTTTCAACTAGTGATACAACTCGACCAATTTCAACTTCTTCCTGGTTCACTGGTGAGCTATTGTGCGCAGGCGCGAGTGATCTGGGCTCTGGAAAAAGACCTTGTTCTAGCTTGATGAAAGGACGTTCAAAGACCAGATGAAGAAGTAAGGATATCGCTGTTGATAGTACCAGATAAACTAGGAAACTGCAGACCTACAGAGACAAATAATTAAAAATTAGGGTTGCTTCATGACTAACTTCAGTAAATCTTAATCACTGGTTCTCAGCCTTTTTAGCCGCGGCATAATAGCTCATAGAATAGTTCTGATTTTTTTTTTTCGAGTAAAAACTTTTAGCTCATATCTCCATCTCTTGACCGATTTGAGATCTAATTGCAGTCGCGGCTATTGAGGATTCCCTCTTGTTTATTTCACGGACCTCTTCACGAGCCCAAGTCAATCCTTCGGATAGGTCGACCTGAAGAAGCTGATCCTACATCGTAAAACTCGACCGTATCGGACTTTTTTAGAATGCCTATGGACCTCTAGTGGTCTGCGGACCATAGGTTGAGAACCACATGACAAAGTGTTCTAGGAAGCAGTTAATGGGGTTACGAATACATCATTACATGTATTTTTTCTTTTGTCTTAATCAGACGTTATAAGTGCACTTAATTTAGTGTTGAGTCTAAACAGAAAATTTTAAATTAAAAATAAATCAGTTAGTTATTCTTTAGTATACAATCGCTCAGATAAAATCATGTCATTATTTGGAAGAATTACCTTAACCAGCTGCCTGAAATTAGTAAATTGAGCTTATAACTACACAGTTACTAATAAGAAGCCCCACAGTGGCACAGCGGTATGTCTGCGGACTTACAACGCTAGAAACCGGGTTTCGATACTCGTGGTGGACAGAGCACAGATAGCCCATTATGTAGCTTTGTACTTAATTCCAAACAAACAAACAACAATATCTACCTTTTCAAGCCC